TGCCTTTCCAAAATATTATAATTATTCCAATTAGTGTGAATGCCAATTAATCTCCAAAAGGTTCACGCTTCCTGTGGAGACTCCTGGTTTCCCCAAATGGTTATGAATGCCATTGTCCAGAAATTGCAGCTCTTTAATCCATTGGTTTCTACATTCTAACCTCTGGAGTATCAGAAACAAAACAAAACAAACATGGCACTCCTTGGGATTTTTGACGATAGCTGTCTTCCGTTTGTAATAACTTTTGAATTCAGAATGACCACTCGGCAAGATTTGAGACCTCCTGCCTCCAAAGGTCCTCGTCCTGCAAGACAAAAGCAAAATCAAGGAAACTTGGTATTGAAATTTTCAAATGGATAAGTCTCAATGACAAGCGATAAAAGCTGGATACACATATAATAGTATTATTATATTTGTATTATTACAATAATATATTAATACAAATATAATAATATTATTATATTTGTATTATTATAATAATAATACAAATATAATAATAGATTCAAATATAATAATGGTTGCTGTGAGTTTTCTGGGCTGTCTGGCCACGTTCCAGAAGCATTCTCTCCTGTCGTTTCACCTGCATCTGTAGCAGGCATCCTCAACGGTTGTGCAGTCTGCTGGAAACTAGGCAAGTGGGGTTTATATATCTGTGGAATAATGTCAGAACTCCGTCTATTGGAGGCACATGTGAATGTTGCCATTGGCCACCTTGATTAGCACTGAATGGCCTTGCAGCTTCAAAGCCTGGCTGCTTCCTGCCTGGAGGAATCCTTTGTTGCGAGGTGTTCGCTGGCCCCAATTGCTTCCTGTCTGGAATTTCCCTGGTTTCTGAGTGTTGCTCTTTATTTACTGTCAGAAAACTCACAGCAACCCAATGATTCCGGCCATGAAATAATAAGAATAATAGTAATAATAATAATAATAATAATAATAATAATAAGGAGCCCCCAGTGGCGCAGTGGGTTAAAGCGCTGAGCTGCTGAGCTTGTTGACCGAAAGGTTGCAGGTTCGATTCCGGGGAGCAGTGTGAGCTTTCGCTGTCAGCCCTAGCTTCTGCCAACCTAGCAGTTCGAAAACATGCAAATGTGAGTAGATCAATAGGTACCGCACTGGCGGGAAGGTAAGGGCGCTCCATGCAGTCATGCCAGCCATATGACCTTGGAGGTGTCTATGGACAATGCCGGCTCTTCGGCTTAGAAATAGAAATCCTCAGGCTACGAGGGATCCCCTAAGTATGATTATATTGGTACTCTGAGTCTATTTTAACGAGGGAATATCTCTTGACGGACCTGCCACGGATTTTCATTATTCCCAACTCCATCCACTGATGGAGTGGCTTCAGCAAAAGATGGATGAGAAGAGCGTGAGATTGCCGCATCTGATTGTGTTGAGAAACTTTCTTCCTCGGCCTCCAAAGAGACGTTTTGACCTTCTGAATCTGCTACAGGGAAGTCACTGCTTATTGACTTTCTCTTCTTCGTCCTGCTGGTTCCATCCAACTCTGAGCTATCAAGCAAAAGTTCTGCAGGACATAAAACAAAGGCGAGGGTTATTATATGCAGTTTGTGTATGATATCAATACACTCGCTCAGGCACCATTCGTCTACCATATTGCACAATGCACATATACTATAATGTATAGCAAGCATTTGCAAACTTGGGCCCTCCAGGTGTTTTGGACTTCAACTCCCACAATTCCTAACAGCCTACCGGCTGTTAGGAATTGTGGGAGTTGAAGTCCAAAACACCTGGAGGGCCCAAGTTTGCAAATGCCTCATGTACAGGATCTCTGTGTTGTGTTCTTATGAGAAGATAGAGCTACCTACCCTCATTTTCATGGCTGCCTTTTCCCTTTTCGGTCTCTCGTTCAGCAAATGGTTTCTGCTGAGCGGAGGAGTGCAAGACAAGGTCTGCACTGGCCCACCCTGCCTGATCATTTTGAGGCTGAAAAATAATGAAAATACAATTACATTAGGTAAAGAACAGTCCTGTAATTAGGACCATCAGAATAATAATAATAATAATAATAATAATAATAATAATAATAGCAGAAAACCTGATGAACCAACCTGGACACAGCATATTATTTGAGAGCACACTCTCACAACCACCATGTCAGACTGCACAGAGAAGCCATTGAAATCCACAAACATGTGGACAATTTCAACAGAAAGGAGGAAAACCATGAAAATGAACAAAATCTGGATACCAGTATTAAAAAACTCTAAAATTACAACAGCACAACAACAGAGGGAAAACAATCAGGCACATCTAATCACCTCTCAACAAAAGATTGCCCCAGGTACTGCCAGGCCATCAAATGCTAATCAAGGTGGCCAGTTGAAACATTCACACCTGGCTCCAGCAGACAAGAGTTCTTTGTCCCACCCTGGTCATTCCACAGATATATAAACCCATTTTCCCATATATATATATATATAAACCCATGGCGAACGCTGAGTATTAGATTGTTTTTATTGATTTTGATGTATAAACTGACTGTCTTAATTGTTATAATTGCTATTTACATGTTTTATTCATTGCTATGTTTATGTTTAAGCTGGCATCAAATTGTGCCTTTGTAAGCCGCCCTGAGTCCCCCCTTGGGGGTTGAGAAGGGTGGGGTAGACATACGCGAAATAAATAAATAAATTTCCTATTTCCAACAGACCTCACTACCTCTGAGGATGCTTGCTATAGATGCAGGCAAAACGTCAGGAGAAAATGCCTCTAGAACATGGCCACATAACCTGAAAAAACCTACAACAACCCAGTGATTCTGGCTATGAAAGCCTTCGACAATACAATAATAATAATAATAATCCCAAATTGTAGACTCTGCAAGGAAGCAGATGAAACAATAGCTCCCATCCACAGCTGCTGCAAGAAGATGGTGCAGACAGACTCCAAACAGAGGCATAACACAGTTGCTCAGATGATTCATTGGAACTTGTGCCACAAATACAATCTGCCTGCGACAAAGAACTGGTGGGTTCACACTAATCTTGTTGTATTTCAAATAATAATCATCATCATCATCATCATCATCATCATCATCACCATCATCTTCCTGCTGAAGTTTTTTTTTTTTGGCAATACTACTACTACTACTACTAATAATAATAATAATATAATCTATATAAATAAAAAGGTAATGTTCGATTGTGGGATTAACATAACTCAAAAACCACTGGACGAATTGACACCAAATTTGGACACAACACCAATGAGTGACCATCACTCATAACCCCCTCCCCCCAAAAAAACAGTGGAAAGGACTTAAAATCCCCCAAAAGCTAAATGACATACAGAAAAAAGGGAAGGAAGAGGGAGGAAAGGAAGGGGGAAAAGAAGGAAGGAAGGAAAGAGAGAAGGAAGTGAAGGAAGGAAGGAAAGAGGTAGAGAATGAAGAAAGGAGAGAAAGAGGAAAGGAAAGGGGGAAGGAAAGAAAAGAGTAGAGAAGGAAGGAAGGAGAGAAGGAAAGAAAAAAGGAAAGGGAGCAATGGAAGGAGGGATAGAGGTAGAGAAGGAAGAATGGAGAGAAAGAGGAAAAAGGGGAAGGAAAGAAAGAGGTAGAGACAGAAGAAAGGAGAGAAAGAGGAGAAGAAAATGGGGGAAGGAAAGAAAAGAATAAAGAAGGAAGGAAGGAAGGAAGGAAGGAAGGAAGGAAGGAAGGAAGGAAGGAAGGAAGGAGAGAAAGAGGGAGGGAAGGAAAGATGGAAGTATGGAAGCAAAAAGCAAAGGAAGGAAAGAGGTAGAGAAGGAAGAAAGGAGAGAAAGGGAAGGAAAAAATGGAGTAAGGAAAGAGTTAGAGAAGGAAGGAAGGAGAGAAGGAAAGAGGGAGCAAAGGAAGGAGGGAAAGAAGGAGAGAAAGAGGAAGGTTGGCCACAGCAACGCGTGGCAGGTACAGCTAATAATAATAATAATAATAATAATAATAATAATAATAATAATAATACTTTATTTATATTCCACCCTTCTCACCCCGAAGATGACTCAGGGAGGATCACAGTACACATACACGGCAAACATTCAGTGCCGCTTTGTATAGACAATACACAGACAGACAACAGAAGGAGGTGGTTTGTTTCTGAACAGTGTCTGGTTGTTTTTGGTGCCACAGAAGTTTGGGCTTGAGTCCAGGGGGTGCTGTTGCTTTATCATCTATGACGAAGGGCCGTCAGGACTTCCTCCTTCCTGTTGGTCGCCCAGCATTTTCTGATCTTTTACTTTATGGCGTCGTAAAACACCTCCTCTGCTTTTAGCGGTACCTAATTTCTGTAATCACAGCTAAAGCTGTTTTCAAATTGCTTAGGTAAACAATGAGCTAGGCTGACAGTTGGCAGCTCACGCCAACCCGGGGCTTCAACCTTGCAACCTTTTGGTTGATAGATCTTATAATTGCTGATGATTTTCCAGCTGTGTTAAACCTCCGGCCCATGTAACAGTCAACATGTGAGTTTATAAGTCCCCAGAAGAGTAAAAATATGTTTACAAGTTCATATAGGAAGTTTTTTCATGCCTGTTATAGCTAGAAAAAAAAAACTTCAGCAGGAAGATTTATTATTATTATTATTATTATTATTATTATTATTATTATTATTATTTGAAACACAACAAGATGAGTCCACAGCAGACACTCTGCTGGCTGTTGAATTGAATCACACGTCGGACCCTTCCCAAGTGTCTAGGACTGTGTGATGTATCGGTGAATAATGCGTGCAGATCCCAGTAAGGTGGCCTTCTGCACCTGGCAGATGGTAATTTGGTCAGTGCCAATTGTGTTTAAGTGCAGGCCAAGGTCTTTAGGCACTGCGCCCAGTGGGCCGATCACCACCGGGACCACCTTGACTGGCTTGTGCCAGAATCTTCTATTATTATTATTATTATTATTATTATTATTATTATTATTATTATTAGAAGCTATATATAAGTGAGGTGTGTGCTCTATGCCCAGAGGGTTCCAAGTTTAATTCTTGGTATTTAGATAGTGTTGGTTAAAAAAGGCCCATGCAGAACTCTGTGAGACAGGCCAATGGTCTGACCCCATAGAAAGTAGCAAAGTAGAAAGATGGAGAATCTAGGAACAGATAGCAAGGGATATAAGGAGAGAAACTTGCCCTCTTGATGTCACAGGTCCTGCTGGGCTTCCATTGTTTAAGAATGACTTGCTTGAAGGTCTCCTTGATTGTGACCTGAAACTCCTTGGTATCAGCAACCTACACAAAGATATTACATCTGTGTCTCAATCTACACACACACACGCTAATGCACACATCAATTTTCAAAACCACAAAGCAAAACAAAAGTATTTGATGCCAAATGTAATGTGTAGTGGGTTACTGTGAGTGTTCCAGGCCCTATGGCCACGTGCCAGAAGCATTCTCTTCTGACATTTCACCCACATCTATGGCAGGCATCCTCAGAGCCTCAGGCTCTTTCCTTTTCCCCCTCAGCCGCTTAAACAATATAATGGTATAGTACAATATAGTAATATTTAATACTGATATTGTACTATGCTAATAATATAATATATTGTATACCTTGCAAGCCGCTCTGAGTCGCCTTCGGAGTGAGAAAGGCGGCATATAAATGTCGTAAATAAATGAATAATAATAAATATTAAGATCTCCTTGAGCAGTTCAGCACAAACATTTCACCCTTGTTGTACATCCGCTGACTTCCCACTGCTTCTACACAAACTTGGTCAAATACCTTCAAGGAATAAGCTAGAAAACCTGGTTATCCCTTTTACAGTCTATGCCACCTATCCAGTCATTTGTGAAATACCTCGGTCCAGCTATACCTGCAAGCCTTGGAAACACTTCTTCCTGAACTCGCTGTCTGTGCTGCTTAAAACTATACTGGATATAGCCTCTGCCATGACAGGCAATGCACATGCCAATCTTTGCTGGTTCTGTGAAGGTCAAAGAGAGCTCTGTGTTACCTGAATGCCTCGCAACCCACAATAATCACAAGCCAAATACCCCTAATCTCAGGTCTGTGCTCACTTGAGTCATGTTTTGGTGCTTCTCCAAGATGCCATGGAGCACTCCTTGGATGGCCCTTGTCACCGCTTGCTTGCTGCACAAAAGAATGGGACAAATATGGGGCAGGATCGCTTGCCGGTCCCCTGCACCAAACCAAAGTGAAAATGGCAAGGAATTAAATTAGTAAATGCTCAGGCTGGAAATATTAAATGCAAGGATAAGTACAAGAATAACATACCCAAATACTAATAGCACAATTTATAATAAAGTGTAGAGCCTGCACTCATGGAAAACGTTCCAAGATTCATTGCAAAGTGTTAGGAATTGTGGGTGTTGAAGTCCAAAACACCCGGAGGGCCCAAGTTGGCCCAGACCAAAATGTTTGAAATTGTTCTCCTTCTGCAATATAGTTGGACATTATTACTCTTTTGTATTGTTGCTTTGTTTACATTCAAGCAGCCCTCAAATTGCGAACAAGATAGGGTCTGTAGATTGATTCCTAAACTGAATTTGTAATGTAAGACGGGATATTTACATTTTAAGTGCAACTCCAGACAATATAGATGTGTGTGTGCACTTTGGATAACATAGGGAAGGGTTAACATCCCTGTAATATTTGTATGTTGGAGGCAAATTCCACCTTGTCTCCTGTGCTATACTAATAATATAAGTATATTGATATAATATTAGTATTGATATAACATTAGTATGTTTTGAGCCGCCTGAGGGCTGAGAAAAGCACCTGAGGATGAGAAAAGCGGTATATAAATAAAGTAAATAAATAAATAAATAAATAAATAAATAAATAAATGTTTGAGGCAAGCTCCACCTTGTCTCCTGTGCTATACTAATAATATAATATTAGTATATTGATATAATATTAGTATTGATATAATATTAGTATGTTTGGGGCAAGTTCCGCCTAGTCTCCTGTGCTATACTAATAATATAATATTAGTATATTGATATAATATTAGTATTGATATAATATTAGTATGTTTGAGGCAAGTTCCGCCTAGTCTCCTGTGCTATACTAATAATACTAGTATATTGATATAATATTAGTATTGATATAATATTAGTATGTTTGAGGCAAAGTCCACCTTGTCTCCTTTTCTATACTAATAATATAATATTGATATAATATTAGTATTGATATAATATTAGTATCTTTGAGGAGAGTTTCATCTATGCTGATGATCGTGCCATTACTGCTCAAGCAGGGAGCTTTGAGACTGTAGAACAGAAGCTCTCCGAAGCTCTAGGTGCTCTTACTGCCTACTACAGGGAAAACCAGCTGATCCCTAATCCATCTAAAACACAGACATATGCTTTCATCTCAAGAACAGACAAGCATCCCGAGCTCTGAGGATCACCTGGGAAGGAATCCCACTGGAGCATTGCAGCGCACACAAATACCTGGGAGTCACTCTGGACCATGCTCTGACCTACAAGAAGCACTGCCTGAACATCAAGCAAAAAGTGGGTGCTAGAAACAATATCATACGAAAGCTGACTGGCACAACCTGGGGATCACAACCAGATACAGTGAAGACATCTGCCCTTGCGCTGTGCTACTCTGCTGCTGAGTATGCATGCCCAGTGTGGAACACATCTCACCACACTAAAACAGTGGATGTGGCTCTTAATGAGACATGCCGCATTATCACGGGGTGTCTGCGCCCCACACCACTGGAGAAATTACACTGCTTAGCCGGTATTGCACCACCTGACATCCGCCGGGAAGTAGCAGCCAATAGTGAAAGGACCAAGGCAGAGACATCTCCAGCTCATCCCTGTTTGGGTATCAGCCAGCACGTCAACGACTTAAATCAAGAAATAGTTTTCTAAGATCTTCAGAGACACTCGCTGGAACACCTCAGCAAGCGAGAGTCCAAAAGTGGCAGGCTCAAACCCAGAACCTCAACCATGGCTGATACCAAATGAGAGACTCCCCCCTGGGCACACAGAGGACTGGGCGACTTGGAAGGCGCTGAACAGACTGCGCTCTGGCACCACGAGATGCAGAGCCAACCTCAAGAAATGGGGCTACAAAGTGGAATCCTCGGCATGCGAGTGTGGAGAAGAGCAAACCACTGACTACTTGCTGCAATGCAACCTGAGCCCTGCCACATGCACAATGGAGGACCTTCTTGCAGCAACACCAGAGGCACTCCAAGTGGCCAGATACTGGTCAAAGGACATTTAACCAACTACCAAACTCACAAGTTGTGTATTTTTCTGTTTGCTTGTTCTGTTAGAAATGTAATATATAATGGACTGGTTGCTCTGACACGACAAATAAATAAATAAGTATCTTTTAGGCAAGTTCCACCTTGTCTCCTGTGCTATACTAATCATATCATATTAGTATATTGATATAATATTAATATGTTTGAGGCAAGTTCCACTTTGTCTCCTGTGCTATACTAATAATATAATATTAGTATATTTGAGGCAAGTTCCACCTTGCCTCCTGTGCTATACTAATAATATAATATTAGTATACTGATATAATATTAATATGTTTGAGGCAAGCTCCACCTTGTCCCCTGTGCTATGCTAATAATATAATATATTAATATAATATATTGTTTATACATATAATATGTATAATATTATAATGTAATACAATACAATACTACTACTAATAATAATACAATATTATAATTATATATTTTATATTACATGTAATATTATTAATATTAATATAATTAATAAATTAATATAATTTCAAACTACAAGAGTGGAGATTCCATCTGAACATGAGGAAGAACTTCCTGACTGTGAGAGCCGTTCAGCAGTGGAACTCTCTGCCCCAGAGTGTGGTGGGAGGCTCCTTCTCTGGAAGCTTTTAAACAGAGGCTGGATGGCCATCTGTCAGGGGTGATTTGAATGCAATATTCCTGCTTCTTGGCAGAATGGGGTTGGACTGGATGGCCCAGGAGGTCTCTTCCAACTCTTGGATTCTATGATTCTATATTACAATATAATGGTATAGTACATGGAGTTGAAGTCCAAAACACCTGGAGAGCCAGAGTTTTCCCCTGCCTGATCTAGAGAGTGAAACGTTTGAGTTTGCTTTGAGTATAGAGGTGGGTAATACATTTATTACTACCATCATCATCATATTTATGATACTGTCTGCCATTACTGCACTCTGTTCTTATTTTGGGCATGGTTTTGCTTTAGAGGCCTCTAAAGTGTAAGTATATAATAACTACATCCACATGGAAGGTGTATTTTGTATGTTGACACTGATGGAAGCTTAATTTAAATTATTTCTCCTGTCTGCATCCAATCTCCAAGATTGGAAGGGTTTCTCATGTCAGCCCTCCTCTATTCTGAGACAGTGGAGGAAATTCAACTTTTCCACTGAAATATTTGTGATAGTCTACATTTCAGTCCACAGGCTCCCGAAGGCAAACGATCTGCATATTCCTTCCCACCCCCATTCCACAAAGCATGCAGTTATAGGCAGTCATATGTACAGAAGTTATAGACCGGCTTGTCTTGAAATTGGTCAAAATAATTAAGAAAAAGGAAGAGAAGCAGCATCTGTTTTTCCGAAGTCTCCTGGTCCTGTTTCTGGCTGGCACGGAGTCTGTATCTGACATCAGGCTTAGCTGTATCTATGAGGCAGAAAACATCACATGGTAGTTAACAGAGATAATGAAGACAAGGATGAATTCTTGCATCTAAATAGATGGATGATAGGATAGAACATGGCCGTACAGCCTAAAAAACCTACAACAACCCAGTGCTTCCGGTCGTGAGAGCCTTCGACAATACATGGATAGTTTGCTGTGAGTTTTCCTGACTGTATGGCATTCTCTCCTGACATTTCACCCACATCTATGGCAGGCACCCTCCGAGGTTGTGAAGTCTGTTGGAAACTAGGCAAGTGGGGTTTATTTGTCTATGGAATAATGTCAAGGGTGGGAGAAAGAACTCAGTCTGTTGGAGGCACGTGCGAATGTTGCCATTGGCCACCTTGATTAGCACTGAATGGCCTTGCAGCTTCAAAGCCTGGCTGCTTCCTGCCTGGAGGAATCCTTTGTTGGGAGGTGTTAGCTTGCCCTGATTGCTTCCTGTCTGGAATTTCCCTGGTTTCTGAGTATTGCTCTTTATTTACTGTTAGAAAACTCACAGCAGCCCAATGATTCCAGCTGTGAAATAATAATAATAATGTATTGTCGAAGGCTTTCATGGCCGGAATTACTGGGTTGTTGTAGTTTTTTTCGGGCTGTATGGCCATGGTCTAGAGGCATTCTCTCCTGATGTTTCGCCTGCATCAGAGGATGCTTGCCATAGATGCAGGCAAAACGTCAGGAGAGACTGCCTCTAGACCATGGCCATACAGCCCGAAAAAACCCACAACAACCCAATAATAATAATAATAATAATAATAATAATAATAATAATGATAATAATCTTTATTTACACCCCGCCACTATCTCCCCAAAGGGGACTCGGGGCGGCTGACATGAGGCCAAGCCCATAGATACAATGCAGCAAAATAAAATACAAAATGCAGACAACAAAAATTACATCAGAATAAAATGCATACAGTAGCAAAATAAAATAAATAAAGCAAATTGACATAATATAAAATCGAACACAATGGGCATGCCAAAGGGACGAGGTAAAATGATCAAACTCTGGATGAGGTAGGAATAGAAAAAAATGTAATTGAGAGGATATATAAACCTCACTTGCCTAGTTTCCAATATAACTCACAACCTCTGAGGATGCCTGCCATAGATGTGGGCAAAATGTCAGGAGAGAATGCTTCTGGAACATGGCCAGACAGCCTAGAAAACTCACAAATAGTGATTTTGGCCAAGAAAGCCTTCAGCAACAGATAGATGATATTTCATCAAAGAACGAAGTGTGAACAAAATGAATTAAAATATGTTTGCAAACAGTTCCAGCTGTTCATGAGGCAGATAGATTATATAAACAATTCATTTTGATATAACATTCCCACTTTAATGGTGAGCACCTCAACATGAGTCAGAGCATGCGTTAGAAATGTGTCATGCCCTACCTTCCTCCCAATATGGATCTGAATTCAGTGTTGCCATGTAGCCGTATTTCTCCCATGCTGCGAAACATGAAGGATCCTCAAAAAAAGAACACGATGCCCCCTTTGCAGGGAACAATATAGGCAATCCTGCTGGGTCATAAAGGAACACATAATGATGGCTAAGGAAAAGGCTATATCTGTGGAATAATGTTCAGGATGGGAGAAAGAACTCTTGTGTGTTGAGGTGTGAATTAGCCAGCTTGATTAGCACTGAATGGCCTTGCAGCTTCAATGCCCGGCTGCTTCCTGCCTGGGGGATCCTTTGTTGGGAGGTGTTAGCTGGCCCTGATTGTGTCCTGTCCGGAATTCCCATTTTCAGAGTGTTCTTCTTTATTTACTGTTCTGATGTTTGAGGGTTTTTTTAATACTGGTTGCCACACTTTGTTCATTTTCATGGGTTTCCAGACAGAAAACAGTCAGGGCCAGCTACCACCTCCCAACAAAGAATTCCCCTGGGCAAGAATAAGCTAGGCTTTGAAGGTACAAGGCTTTGCAATGGTAGGTTAGGGAAAGGATTTCCCCTGACATCAAGTCTTGTCGTCAGGTGGTGCTCATCTCCTTCTCTAAGCCGAAGAGCCGGCATTGTCCGTAGACACCTCTAAGGTCATGTGGCCAGCATGACTGCATGGAGTGCCATTACCTTCCCGCAGAAGCAGTATCTATTGATCTACTCACATTTGCATTATTTTGAACTGCTAGGTGGGCAGAAGCTGGACCTAAGAGTGGGAGCTCACCCTGCCACCAGATTTGAACTGCCAACCTTTCTGTCAGCAAATTCAGCAAATCAGCGGTTTAACCTGCTGCACCACAAAAGGGGGGGGCAGGAAAGGGCTATTTTACTTTTCTTCTTCTTTCTTTAAACTTTTTTTCTTTTTCACTTTTTTTTAAGTTTAGTGATACATCTAAATCTTTATTTTCAGTTATAGAATTTACATGTCTGTTGTCATATTGTATCCTATGTTTATTTCTGTTTAAAACGACTAAAAACCACTTTTTTTAAAAAAAGAAAAGGCTACTTGGAGGAAAAATGAATAAAACTTACCTGTCCGAATGTATCTCCCCTTACGAACCACTGAGGACTTTAAGATCATCTGGGGAGGCCCTGCTCTCGGTCTCGCCTTCGTCACAAGCACGTTTGGTGGGGATGAGAGACAGGACCTTCTCAGTGGTGGCCCCTCGGCTATGGAATGCCCTCCTTAGGGAAATCAGATCTGCTCCCTCCCTCTTGACGTTTCGGAGGCAAGTTAAAACGTGACTATTCAAGCAAGCGTTTACAAATATAGAGTAGCTAATATAGGAAATCGAATGACCTGACAATGGAACTGAACAATGCTTGAGAAGAATGAGACGCTGATGATGTTGCTTTTATTGTTTTTGTGATGTCTTATACTATTTAATGTTTTTTATCTATATTATGTTTTATGTATACTGATTTATTGGAAACCACCTTGAGTCGCCAATTGGCTGAGAAAGGTGGTATAATACAAATACAGTAAATAAATAAACAGTAAATAAATAAACCACTATTAATATGAGAGATGTTAATATTCTACCACTTTAGGTCAGCCAGAACTAGAGCCCATTTTCTTGCTATGGATTATCACTAAAAAATATTTTATTCAGCCCTTGGTTGTCTCTCAAAGAGCAGCATCCAAAGCTGCTCATACTGATAAGATCAAATAATAAGACATACACAGAATAAAAACATAGCAATTAAAGAAAGATGAGCATGTGACAATATAATTACGGATTGATGACCAAACTAGCAAGCTTGTTTTCTGCTTCCCTGGAGACTAGGACGCAGAACAATGGCTTCAAACTACAAGAAAGGAGATTCCATCTGAACATTAGGAAGAATTTCCTGACTCTGAGAGCTGTTCAGCAGTGGAACTCTCTGCCCCAGAGAGTGGTGGAGGCTCCTTCTTTGGGGGCTTTTAAACAGAGGCTGGATGGCCATCTGTCAGGGATGTTTTGAATGCAAATTTCCTTCCTTCTCTACCTCTTTCCTGCGTACCCCCATTTTTCTTTCTCTCCCCCATCCTCTCCTTCCTTCTCTACCTCTTTCTTTCTTTCCTTCCTTCCTTCTCTGCTTTTTTTCTTTCATTCCCTCTTTCCTTCCCTCCTTCTCTCCTTCCTTTCTTCTCTCTTTCCCTCCTTTATTCCTTCCCTCTAGACCTAGGCCAGAAAGAGTTGGGCTCAAAGGCAGCGCTTGAGAGAGGTGTGTCCCTGCTTTCTGCAGAGCAAGGGCTCCATGGTTAGTGAGCCGGGCATCTGCATCTGTATTGTCATTTAGCTTTTGGAGGTTTTTAAGTCCTTTCTGCTGCTTTTTGGGGGCATTTATGAGTAATGGTCAGTCACTGGTCTGTTAAGGGTGCAGTGTCCAGATTTGGTGTCAATTCACCCAGTGTTTTCTGCATTATGTTAATCCCACAAACCAACATTACATTTTTATTTATATAGATATACGATCTGAGTTCCCTCGTTGTTTACAGGAAAGGATACAGAGAGAGCAGTTATCCTAGTTAGCTGGTTAGGGAAAGGCTTCAGGCAAGGACATAAGGCCACAACTGGTGTTAGTCTCAGTTCACCGCTGAAGTCTCTTTTGGCAACTTCATCCGGAAGGAAGAGACCAACTTGCTCACCGACCACTGGGTGGAGTTTGTTGCAGGACAAGTTTTCATCCCTAGATGCTGACCTGGTCAGGTCCACATGACAAAAAGATTAGGATTAGGAAGAAACTATAACCAAAGAGATGAGTATCAAATGTCTAGACTAGCATGCCCCAACTAAGGTTATTTTAATCTCTATTCCCAAAAGTCCTGACCATGAGCTATGCTTTTTTTTGTGTCAGGAGCAATTTGAAAAACTGCAAGTCGCTCCTGGTGTGAGAGAATTAACCATCTGCAAGGATGTTAACTAGGGGACACCTGGATAAACATCCTGTGGGAGGCTTCTCTCATGTCCCCACATGGGAAGCTCCCCGGATTCGAACCGCCGACCTTTTGGTCAAGCAGTCCTGCTCTCATAAGGGTTTACCCCACTGCGGGCTCCAAAATTAGGTGCCTCCGCTTATATTCGGGTCGGCTTATACTCGAGTATATGTGTCACAAAAATTTAATATGCAGATTTGAGAAATGTGGAGGCATAACTATAGTAAAAAGAACAATGTAAAACTATGTTTAACGATACTGTCTCAGTCTTCAACTGACTGACCCTCACAATTCAAAAGTCTGGCCTTATATAGGGCTTTCTGGCTTTTGCACACGGCACTCATACTGCGTCATCAAACTTTCTAGAGTATTCTAGAATCTTCCATAGTGTAAGTCGCAACATGCATTTTTTCAACCATACGTGATCACGTGATTGCTTATATCATAAAAACTAGAGCCAATATACATTTTTAAATGTCATTTTCGTTTTCATCACCCCAAAATCATAAAAGAACAGCTATTTTCAGGCCCGCAACTTTTTCTCCATTGAACAGTGTTATTATTATTATTATTATTATTATTATTATTATTATTTTACTCTCTTTATTCTTATTGGAAGGATACATAAGCATATTTACATTGAAGAAGGTTAGAATCAGATTAGGACAGTCTTATCTTAAATTCCAGTGTTATGTAAATATTCAAAAACATCAAAACGCCTGATGCCTCAATTAATGTAATTTTATTGGTATCTGTTTTTATTTTGAAACTGACCAGGAGCTGCTGTATTTCCCACCCTAGGATTATACTTGAGTCAATACATTTTCCCAGTTTTTGTGGTAAAATTAGGTGCCTCGGCTTATATTCGGGTCGGCTTATACTAGAGTATATATGGTAAATACAATAATAAAAATATTTGTCTGACAAAACTAGGGACCCCCAAAATACGTCGCAATCTCTCATCTCCCACATCTACCAGGTGGCAACAAAGGTTGATTCTAATTCTGATTTATGCAGTTCTTTCCCTTTGAGTCTACTTCAGACAGGATTTGTCGGGGGGGGGGGGGTGCAAATCTAGATGCCTGAAGCAAGCTTTTGTGGACAGAAGATTAAGGAGATGGCGCCCAGACACCTTCCCCCTGAAGCGTTTGGCTCTGAACCCTGGTATTCATTCTAGACTCAAAGCTCCACCTGCGGTGGAAAGTTACCAAGGTCACCTACAGCAGAGCTCTTCTGTTCCTTGCAATAGACCTCGTGTAGATCTTTCCATTAGATTATGCCCATGAGCCTTCTCTTTCACTTTTATCAAATACGAAGGCTTACAGGTATCCAATTGGCCTCGGCCCCAAAAACACTGCGATAAGGTCATTTTAGGTCGGAAAAGAACTTGAAGACACATGACAATAATCCCTTAAATATTTTTCTCTCAAGTCCAAAAAAGGATCATAGACAAAGTAAAACAGCTATCCCAAACCACTGATTCTGTGCATTACGAAAGGGGAAGACATACCTGAATACTTAATGTATAATTGCATTTTTATTGACAGGGTGAATGAGGCCGTGCTGTTTCTGGTGTAAACATAACTTGGATATTGTGGACTTTTCAGAATGTGACCCCAAAATGTTTAGGGCCATTTCAGTGCCTCTTCTGCAAAAGAGGGAGCAAACTACTGTATATACTCAAGTATACCATATATACCATATATACTCAAAATACCGTATAAACTCAAGTATAAGCCGACCCGAATATAAGCCGAGGCGCCTAATTTTACTACAAAAAATGGGAAAATATATTTACTCGAATATAAGCCGAGGGTGGGAAATGCAGCAGCTACTGCTAATTTTCAAAATAAAAATAGATACCAATAAAGTTATTATTTTTATTTATTTCACGCATTTCTACCCCGCCCTTCTCAACCCCCGAGGGGGGACTCAGGGCGGCTTACAAAGGCACAATTCGATGCCAGCATAAACATAACAATGGATAAAACATGTAAACAGCAATTATAACAATTACAACAGTCTGTATATAAATCAAAATCAGTAAAAACAATCTAATGCTCAGCGTTCGCCATTTCAGAGTAAATTTCTTCCACATTGTCAAGTACTATCGATTCTGGTTGTCATTGTCCTTATCTAACCGCCAGATTGCCCGAAAGTCTGGTTCCACAACCATGTTTTTACTTTCCTTCTAAAAGAGAGAAGGGATGTCGATGACCTAATTTCCCCGGGGAGTGAATTTCACAGGTGAGGGGCCACCACCGAGAAGGCCCTGCTCCTCATCCCCACCAATCTCACTTGTGATAGAGGTGGGGTCAAGAGCAGGGCCTCCCCAGAAGATCTCAAACTCCAAGGTGGGACGTAGAGGGAGATGCATTCGGATAGGTATGCTGGGCCGGAACCGTATAGGGTTTTGTAGGTCAAGACCAGCACTTTGAATTGTGCTCGGAACTGGACCGGCAGCCAGTAGAGCTGACATAACAGAGGTTACATTAATTGAAGCATCAGTAGGTTAAATAAGTTACATTAATAAGTTAGATTAATTGAGGCATCAGTAGGTTAAATGTTTTTGAATATTTACATAAAACTGTAATTTAAGGTAATACTGTCCAACTCTGATTAAACCATTATTCTAACCTTCTTCAATGTAAATGTGTTTATGTATCCTTCCAAAAACAATAGAGTAAAATAATAAATGTAATAATAATAAATAGAGCAAAATAATAAATACAATAATAGAGTTAAAATAATACATGTAATAAAATAAGAGTAAAATAATACATGTAATAAAAGTAATATGTATTTTATCTACATGTATTTTAATCTTGTATTATTGTTATGATGTTTTAACTTGTATTAGTAGCATTGAATCCTTGCCGTAAGCCGGTCTGAGTCCCTCTACGGAGGTGAGAAGATCGGGATATAAAAGTTTTAAATAAATAATAAATAATAATAAAATAATAACAGAAATAAAAGTAATAATAGAGTAAAATAAGAAATGCAATAATAATAATGACAGAGTAAAATAATACATGATTTTGACTCGAGCATAAGCCGAGGGAGCTTTTTCAGCCTAAAAGAAGGGCTGAAAAACTAGGCTTATACTTGAGTATATAGGGTAACGAAATCCTAAGGCACCAAACATGTTGATACTCTTATTGAAATATATGCCCATGAACTGTTTTCAGGTGTGCGTAAGTTATGCACATTTATATATATTTGCTCAGGACCTGCAGTGCAAATATGTTCTGATCCTAACCTCACAAATTGATTCGCATCAGTGAGTAGTCTCCTCCCTTGTGGTAAACAGGTGCTGGGTGTGCTTCCTGCACTAGAGGAGAGATGGAAAATAATAATAATAATAATAATAATAATAATAATAATAATAATTGAAACAATAGATCAGTGGTTCTCAACCTGGAGTCCCCAGATGTTTTTGGCCTTCAACTCCCAGAAATCCTAACAGTTGGTAAACTGGCTGGGATTTCTGGGAGTTGTAGGCCAAAAACATCTGGGGACCCCAGGTTGAGAACCACTGCAATAGATGATATCCTCAGTTGCTGCAAGAAGATCGCACAGACAGACTACAAGCAGAGGCACAACACCGTTGCTCAGATGATTCATTCGAACTTGTGCTACAAATACCATCTGTCTGTGACAAAGAACTGGTGGGATCACAAGCCGGAAAAAGTTACAGAGAATGAACACGCCAAACTCCTCTGGGACTTCCGAATTCAGACAGACAGAGTTTTGGAGCATAATACTCCTGACCTCACAATCGTGTTAAAAAACAAAGTATGGATCGTCGAGGTTGCAATTCCAGGCAACAGCAGGATTGCAGAGAAACAACTGGAAAAGCTGACACGATATGAGGATTTAAAGATCGAACTGCAAAGACTCTGGCACAAGCCAGTCAAGGTGGTCCCAGTGGTGATCAGCACACTGGGTGCAGTGCCTAAAGACCTTGGCCTGCACTTAAACACAATCGGCGCTGACAAGATTACCATCTGTCAGCTGCAGAAGGCTACCTTACTGGGATCTGCACGCATTACAGTCCTAGACACTAGGGCTGGGTAACCACGGAAAAAAATGTTTCTAAACTCGATTTGTTTCCAGGGGACACTAGCGTTTCCAAATTCTAAATACTTCCGAAATGTTGAGATTTCAAAATTTCGTTATTTACAAAATTTCGTTAATTTCGAATCAATTCGTTAATGGTGGACGCGATTGCGCAATATGCTAAAAAAACCTCCAAATGGGACAGGGGGAACTTCTGAAGCTTCCCTCTCCCTCTGTTGTTGACTGTTGGTGTGATAAAACAAACAACAACTATAAAACTTGCACCAGACATGCGAAAATAATTACGAAATATTTACGAAACAATTTTGAACCAATTACGAAACAATTACGAAACACATTAAAAAATTGTTTCGAATCTAATTTACTCCTCACACTATTCCTGCATGGCTCAATATCGGATCGTAAGCTAATTTAAATACGAATTAATAACGAATTACGAAATTAACGAACGAAACCGCCCAGCCCTACAAGATACTTGGGAAGTGTTCGACATGTGATCCAATTCAACAGCAGGCAGAGTGCCTGCTCTGGACTCATCCTGTTGTGTTTCAAATAATAATAATAATAATAATAATAATAATAATAATAATAATAATCACCATCATCATCATTATTTATAACCCATCTCCATCTCACCAAAGGGGACTCAGGGTGGCTTCTTTGGAAGCTTTGAAACAGAGGCTGGATGGCCATCTGTTGGGGGTGCTTTCAATGAGATTTTCCTGCTTCTTGGCAGGGGGTTGGACTGAATGGCCCATGAGATCTCTTCCAACTCTAGGATTCTATAAGTCTTTTAACAATATCCAACTTTACTATCTGACAGTCAACCTGGCAAAATGTAAGCTACAGAATGCTACTATTAATTGGATTTGTAGCTGATTCGTGGACCAAACTTAAACCTTGTAGCACCTCACTTGTCACTTCTCCTGATAATGAGGAACTATTAGCAAGCACTCTTTAAGAACATGTCCAAAAGAGTGTGTCTGATGCGCACAAAGCTGTATAAAGTAAAGACCTGTTGAGGGAACTGGGCATGCTAGGCTTGCAGAGGAGGGGAGTGATATGATATGCATCTTTAAATATCTGAAGGACTGCCACGTAGATGCTGGGGTAAGCTTGTTTTCTGCTTCTCAGGAGGATAGAACCTGAGCGAATGGCTTCAAATTGCAATCATCATATTCTGACTAAATATTAGGTAGGATATATTCTGATGGTCAGAGATGACCATCAGAATATGTCCTGATTTTAGCACAAACCATGAAAATGAACAAAATTTGGTTACCAGTATTTTTTAAAAAAACTATAAAATCAGGACATTAAATAATAATAATAATAATAATAATAATAATAATAATAAACTATTATTATTACTATTATTATTATTATCTGTATAAATAAAAATGTAATGTTCGTTTGTGGGATTAACATAACTCAAAAACCACTGGATGAACTGCTGCCAAATTTGGCCACAAGACACCTACTAACCCAAGGAGTGACCACTACTCAAAAAAATGATTTTGTCATCAGGGAGCTGTAGTTTCTGGGATTTATAGCTCATCTATAAATCCAAGAGCATTCTGAACTCCTCCAATGATGGAACTGAACCAAACATGGCATACAGGACTTCCATGACCAACAGAAAACACTAGAAGGGTTTGGTGGGCATTGACCTTGAGTTTTGGAGTAGTAGTTCACCTACATCCAGAGAGCGCTGTGGACTCAAACAATGATGGATCTGGACCAAACTTGGCACAAATACTCTATATGCCCAAATATGAACACAAATGGAGTTTGGGGGAAATAGACCTTGACATTTGGGAGTTGTAGTTACTGGGATTTATAGTTCACTTGCAATCAAAGAGTATTCTGAACCCCATGAACGACAAAATTGGGGCAAACTTCCCACACAGAACCCCCATGACCAACAGATAATACTGAAGGCCATCCAGTCCAACTCCCTTCACCAGGGCAAAAAAATGTAATCAAAGCCCTCCTGACAAAGAGCCATTCAGCCATAAATAAAGATAGATAGATAGATAGATATGATTCATACACACACCAATATAGTACTATAGATTTGAAAGGGACCCCTAAAGAAATGTTGCATGTTCCAGAGTTGGCAAACCAGGCAATCTCTACATCAACACTGTCAAAGAAACAACAAGAAATACTGTTTATCCACAAGCCTAAAGAAATTACATATAGTAGAAACCAGTACTTTCTCATTACGGTACTTTATTTTCCAGATTACCAGACTGGGCCACAGGAATGTGTGACAGGGGATGGCTACTTATTAATAAAGAGGAACACTCAAACAATGGGATTTCCAGACATGAAACCATCAGAGCCAGCTAACACCTCCCAATAAAAGATTCCCCCAGGCAGGAATCAGCCAGTCTTTGAAGTTGCAAGGCCATTCAATGCTAATGAAGCTGGCCAAGTACAACATTCATACTAGCATCCAGCAGACAAGCGTTCTTTCTCTCACTCTGGACATCATTCCACAGATATATAAACCCCACTTCCCTAGTTTCCAAAAGACTCCACAACCTCTGAGGATGCCTGCCACAGATGTGAGCGAAACGTCAGGAGAGAGTGCTTCTGAAACCTGGCCATACAGCCCGGGAAACTCACAGCAACCCAGTGATTCCGGGCATGAAAGCCTTCGACAACACATTCTTGGGATCCCTTTCAACTCTACAGTTCTATTTCTGTTCTATTTCTGTGTAGTGCAGTATATATAGGAGCTGGCCGGTGGCTTCATTCCTCCCTCTCCTGGCTGGTGTACCCATACTAATTTCCTTTAAGCCTTTCCTCTCTCTGTTTGAAGGGCATTGGCACCATTGCCCTCTATTTGACAGCTTTCCCTTTTACAAAAAAAGAACTGATCTGATTGAAAGATAAACTTTCAACAGGGAAAACATGGATGAGCCTTGCCCACTTACAATTAACAACAGTTGTCGATCAAACTGAGCAACAGTCATACCCACAAAGGTGCCATTGGGTTACTTCTCTATTTAAATTATACCCACCCTGGACATCATTCCACAGATATATATAAACCCCACTTGCCTAGTTTCCAACAGACCCCTCAACCTCTGAGGATATTTATTTATTTCGTATCAAAAGCGTTACATAAATTAGTATAAAACTGATAAAAATAGAAGGTGCGCAGGCGGCTAAATATCTTTTGACCAAAAACGGGCAACAGCAACAGCATTTTCTGTAGCCTCAAACATTTCCTTCTCTGTACATGAGGCAGAGCATAGTGGACAAGCATACAGATGTAGAGTTGTCTGTTCTGCTCCACAGTCACACAAGGTGTGGGATTCTTTTAGGTAGTGCCATTTTGCCAGGTTGTCTTTTGATCTGCCCACTCCACTTCTGAGTCTATTCAGGGACTTCCAAGTTGCCCATTCTTGCTTTGCCCCTGGAGGAAGACCCTCCCTTGTGGGGGCCATCCAGTTGGGATTTCCTGGTTTAGCTGCCCAGAGGGATACCCTTGCTGTTTCTGGGGGGACACCAAGAGGAGTGGTAGTTCTCATAAACTACATCTGCCTGCCACCTCAGGAGGAGAAGGTGGAAATCCTGCTGCTTCTCCTCCCCACCCAAGCCAGCTAAGAGGAGGAAGGGGACTGAGGAAGAGACTTTAAAAACACCTGTCTCCTGGCTGTTGCTTACTACATCTGCCTGCCACCTCAGGAGGAGAAGGAGGAAATCCTGCTGCTACTCTCCCCCTCCCAAGACAGCTAAGAGGAGGAAGGGGACTGAAGAAGAGACTTTAAAAACAGCTGTCTCCTGGCTGTTGCTTACTACATCTGCCTGCATTTTGGAATTCCAGATAAGGGATGTTGAACAAGCCACAAGAGTAAAGCCAAAGATCCACCCAAAGGAAAAGTGTCCTTGCCAGACATCATGGGAATCACTGACCATATAGGGAAGTGGATGAAGAAACACAACTTGCAAAAAACAGACCCACAACCTGCATACTATCCACCCTGCACATTCCACAGATATATAAACCCCATTTTCCTCGTTTCCAACAGACCTCACAACCTCTGAGGATGTCTGCCATAGATGCAGGTGAAACATCAGGAGAGAATGCTTCTGGAACATGGCCAGGCAGCCCGGAAAACTCACAACAACCCAGTATACTCATTGTAAAAAGGCAAAGGCTTTCCCCTGACATTAAGTCCAGTTGTGTCTGACTCCGGGGTGTGGTGCTCATCTCCATTTTGAAGCCAAAGAGCCAACGTTGTCCGTAGACACCTCCAAGGTCATGTGGCCAGTACATGAAGCTGGGGCTATTTGTGTATAAGAACATGCACATTTGGTACCCTCTCTTTGGTGATTGTGAATTTTCTTTTTATATTTCTGATGACTTGCAAATCATAATCCTAAACATCAACCATGTGAGTTTAGGATTATGGCTGTTGATTCTAACAGTTGAAGAGGAAGCAGGGCTGCTCTGGATCCCCGGTCTCTTTTCCCACCTTTCCTCTACTGGGCTGTAAAGCTGCAAGACTGGGTTTTAAATAAGAGCCATTTCAATGGGAAAGTTTAATCCAGGACACATGGTTAATCCTTGCCAATTATTTCAGGACAGAGGAAGAAAAAACAGGACCCTCTTTGTTCTCGATGTTCTGAATAGCAATCGACAATAAAGCTCTATTGACCTGTCTCCCTGTGGTAGAGACACCAGCTATCAAGGACAAACCTGTAAGTATATTAGCTTTAAAATATTTAGTATACAATATATTTACTTGTTAATAAAACATGTGAAATGTAAAGCAGAGCTGTATTTACTGGCTTTGAGAGCACTGACAAAAGAGGACAATAACATATATGAACATCTTCCTTCCTTCCCCTTCCTTTCCCCCCTCCTTCCTTCCTGTCCCTCCCTCCTTCCTTCCCTTCCTTCTCCTTCCTTTCCTTCTTTCCCTCCTTTCCTTCCATCCTGTCCTTCTTTTCCTCCCTCCCTCCCTCCCTCCCTCCCTCCCTTTCCTCCTTCTTTCCCTTTCTTCATTTCCTTCCCCTTCATTTCCT